CTCATATGCTTTTTTGTCAGACAGCTGGTGGCATTATGCGGGACAAAGAATCCCGCTGGCTTCCCAGGAACATCGGGAGACATTCATCATATCCCACGCATGTGTTTTCTTCAGCATCAACTCTTACACCGCCGCCGTGTATTAGCATAAGAAACAGCGAATACAGCATATTCAAATCTTTCTGGTTACCCCAAAAGCCCACCATGACTTGTCAGGGCCCAGACGAAGCGAGAGTTTAAAAAATGTCCGTTTTGGGGAGTTAGACTATTTAATGTTCATCCTTTTGCGTGTGGGAATATGGTTGTATGTGTGTCACGGTCAAAGATATGACAGAATACACGCGCCAAGACATATTTGGCGCCGCGCCGGTGATGACATAACTCCCCCAGTATTGGCATATATTGCCGCCTCCCGCGCATGTCGCTGACGCGAATGTGAAACACAATCTCTGCGTAGGCGAAATCAACAAGAGCGGTTCCTTGGCCGAAAATCAAGGTATTGCCAATAATTCATAATGCCAAAGTGATAGAGATGCTACGACTGCGCAATAAAATGTCTGTTTAGTATTTCTCGTGATCGCCACAGGTCGGGGCAGTCATGTCGGTCGTTTTTACACTGTTTACCTATCCTTGTCAGTGTGAATCTATCTATTTACGTATCCATCCATTTATCCGTTAATTCCCCCATCCGCAATCGACCCATCATCTGTCCATCCATCCATTCAGCCATCCATCAATCCATCGATCCATTTATCTATGTATCAACGTCCAGCAAGCGGTGGGTTAGGCAAGTTGCTAAAGCGTTTGTTCGTCAGACCGAAGACCGGTGTTCGATTCTCCAACCGGGCGCAATCCGTTCATGCTGTCTCCCATCTGCATGCGGCTGTGGTACTGCTGAAGGCGGTTTAAATCCGGACTCACTCTCTCGGAACGTCACCGACGGAACATACCACACTCCGTCTTCGTTGTCGACGTCGACCGACGTATTTGACGTAGTGTCCTTGACGTTGCAAGGCATGTAGTATTTCCAGGGCAGTTGTGTTTAGTTGTCATAATCTTCACTAAATATGGGTACTGCTGGACTCGCTCCCGACTTTGTGTCATCATTGTGTTTACTTATCTGTGAATAATTGGTTTCTAAATGTCTGAATCAGACAATCCAGTGATCAGCAAGATGAACTTCGATGAAATACACAATGCCATTTTAGAAAGTGGTCAAATGTAACATATGTTATATTTGGGATTACACTTTCTTAGTAAAGTACAGATTCTAATACTGTTTGGGTTGAGTCCCATACGGGATTCGAACCCACACCCTCAGAGTCAGGCAACTAATCGCCAGCACACAAAGTCAGACGCCTAGACCGCTCAGCCACCGCGGCTTCGACCTACGCAACTGAGATGGTTGGTTTGTTGTTTAACGCCGCTCTCAGTCATATTTCAGCTATATGGCGGCGGTCTGTAAATAATCAAGTCTGGACCAGACAATCCAGTGATCAACAACATGAGCATCTATCTACGTATTTGAGATACGATGACATGTTACAACCAAGTCAGCGAGCCTGACCACCCGGTCCCGTTAGTCGCCTATTACGACGAGCATGGGTTACTGAAGAGCAATTCTAAAAGGGATTATGAGGGATTATGTAGACTGATATACAAGTGATGGCAGGGCAGTATTGACAACAGTGTGTGCTGCAGTCTAACTGGTGAAAAACGTTGAATGCGATTGTATGCAGAACATCTTCCGGACCTTTTGCTGCTTATATCTTGATAGGTATCCTTTTTCTGAATCCGACATTTGGAAAATACCCTGTAGCATTGGCGAAATTGATATCACACGAACTACATAAAAATAATATGCATTTCGTGTTTGTTGACATTCTGCCAGCTTCCACACAAATATATGACGTCATCAATTGTACCTTTGTAAAACAATCCCCGCGTGATACTAAAGGAATTTCCGGGCAACAGATACATACTAACACCCACAAACCTGTGCTACAACGTTCAATATATGTGTAGACAATTCTCGATCCTTCCATTCATTTCCAGAAGCTAACTTAAAAACAAAATACAAAAACTGCACCTTCCGTTTCGTTCACCCAGACAGACCTAGAGTCGTTACTTCTGAATATATCAGAGAATGTTTCCGAAATCAGCTCCAAACTCCTGCGCAGCTTTCTTCATGGAAACTCCCCCTGACAATGCACGTTTGTTAGTTGCAATAGTTTCTATCCACTGATATTTGATATAAAAGAACACTGTGAATTAAATATCTACAAACTACAGAAAAATATAACAAGACCGAGCCTGTAACATTGCGTACCGAAATAACCCCATTGAACTGCAACCAATGTTTTCTGCCACGCTTTATCGGAACCGTTTTTCATATTACACGAGAGTATTTTTTTGTTCAGCCTTTCCAAATGAAGGAGTAGTGATTTACTTTTAATGTTGATGTCTATTACGGCGGTATCGTTGATGGGTCTTCGTCCGTGGGCGTTGTTACGTAAACACTCCACATTCACCGCTTGCCTATCTTGTTTAATTCATATTGTTGAAACAGACATTCAATAAGCTGCCCATGACCATAATACTATTGCCCCATGAAAAATTACATGTTATCATTGCAGGCCGGTTTGGTGATGTGGTTATAATTTGGAATAAAATCTGTTTCACACAACAGCTGAACGTTTTGATAATACGATGTATAGTTTGAAAAGAAATATATTTCCAACTTTAATTGCCAGTAGTTACATTTATATGTGTTCGGTACTGGTGGTGAAATGTGTTTGGACTTGAGAGAGTTAAGATATTAGCGGATGTGACATATTGTATGATTTACCTTAAACAATTGCTTCCTTACCAAAAACGACGTCTCAAACGTCCTGAAAATAATACAAGCCAATTACCTTTCAGAATGTTAGACCTACATTGTATGAAGGATACACAGGAACAATAAACAAGTAAACAAGAATTTCAAACATTGCAGGATAATAGAGCAATTTGCGTCACAAAGTGGAGGCTTGGAATCAGTTTGTTTATCTTCCGCTTTTGTAACTGGTAAAGAAATTAGGCGAAGTCATCATTTATAAGTCTTTGACAAGTGGCATGCGTTGGGTAATGAACGTTTGTCCGAGTAAGTACCAGTTCCTGGCATGTGTTGCCATGTCTCTTCATAAAGTCGAAACGGTTTAATGAGTTGTAAATATGAAGATGATTTATATTGATTTTGTTTGAAGACTGTTTGCCGATTCCCCTCCGAAAACCACTTTGTGTCATGTGACGGGTATTGGTGAGTGATGTATTGCCTTAAGTACGTACTTATAGAAATTATTTCTAAAGAGTCTTAATGTTTGAAAGCTTTTTTCTTATGGCGTCACATCTGTGGAGTTACCTGTTAAAAGCGTTCATTGTAAATTTTGGAAACAAAAATTTATTTCGCTCAGCAGAGTTGCGTCCCTTCCATGAACCAGAAACCGATGATTGAAGGTTTTATCCCTAGATTCTGTGTTTTGTCTGCAACATTTGTAATAACTTGTATCATTTTAGGTCTTCCTCCCACATCAAGCTGTTACGCCGTGACGTAAACGAAATACTAAGAAAATTGGACCTTAACCCGAATCACTCACTCACTATTCGCCAGTGGGTAACCGTCATAGGCGACCATTGGTACCATCACTGTTTAACCGTGGTTCACAAACAGATGATTATGACTTAGTCAGTATCGTGCAAGCATTTTGCCTTAAAGAGAGATTTGTTGATAATTATGGTAAATTGATGTTTTCGGTCGCTTTTATTCGCTTCTTAAAATCGACGCATGCAGAGTTCCTTCCCGTATCTGTTAGGATCCGCTGTTCGTGTGAACAGCGATCCGATCCAAATATGAACCTCAGATCATTAGAACTTTACCAGTGGCATATATATTGCCGTTGGTGGCACACTTGAGACACTGTCTGTTTTCTTCCAGCATACAGTATGGCTCCATCACGTGTCTACGTCATATCTTAAGACGTGAAAAGATTATGCTCTGTGTAACCCTGCCTTAGAAGGCCAGAACAAAAACAGACTTGTACAAGCACACACACACGCATGCGCGCACGCACGCACGCACGCACACACACACACGCACACGTACACACATCCTCCCCGTAAAAGCCCATTGCTGGTGTCCCTGCCGTGATATTGCTAGAATATTGCTAAAGCGGCGTAAAACCATACTCACTCACTCTTTTAAAGTAATCAGTGATGCAGCTAGTCTCTGAAATTGAATTTTACAGAAACAAAGTTCCTAGTAAAAATAAATATAATGAAAAGGCGTCCTGGGACTTTCTTCATTTTCCTGAAGCTGTGGAAATCTAGACTTGCCACATTTTCTAGACTTGCGTGGGCTTTCTGGGATATATTTGCTTCAGGGTCTGTATGACAGACTACACTGTAGATAGAGATGCAGGTAGTGTAACTATTGATGTGTCGCAATTGTCAAAGGCACGCTGACATTACACACAGATAACAAGTGAGAATATCAATCATATGCATCGCGATCAATAGGTTCTATTGTATTCAAATGTACGACATACTGGTATAGTGGCAGTATACCACCATTCATGTTCAGTCAAGCAAGTCCTGTTCATAAATTCATTCACATTAAAGCAGAATGGCCTCAGATGACAACTCAGCAATATACATTTAAATGTCAGACCGCCATCGCGTTGCAGCAAGTCAAGAAAACCCTTTTGGAGGTGTTTGTTACAATTCGATAGGGGCGGTGGGGTAGCCTAGTGGTTTAGGCGTTCGCTCGTCGAGCCGAAGACCCGGGTTCGATTCCCCACATGGGCACAATGTGTGAATCCTATTTATGGTGTCCTCGCCGTGATATTTCTGGAATATTTCACTGTTGTTACCCATACAGTCCTACTTCCCACCAACTGGCAGACAAAGCAATGTCTGAAATGTCAGATAAGAGTTTACAAGATCGATAATCGCCCACAAGAACCTCTAACTGGTCTTTCGGCTGTTCAATGTGATTTTCCCAAAACAAACCCGCTGGTACTCTGAGTGGTAGTTCCTGAGCAGGACACTCGATGTCATGTATGTTTTGAAGATTTGATTTCTCTCATCATCATCGTCGTCGTCGTCGTCATCTCCATCAGGATTGTGTTGCCTTAAATCCTCATCATAGTCATCATCATCATCGTCGTCGTCGTCGCCATCTCCATCAGGATTATGTTGCCTTAAATCCTCATCATAGTCATCATCATCATCGTCGTCGTCATCGTCATCTCCATCAGGATTATGTTGCCTTAAATCCTCATCATAGTCATCATCATCATCGTCGTCGTCGTCATCTCCATCAGGATTATGTTGCCTTAAATCCTCATCATAGTCATCATCATCATCGTCGTCGTCGTCGTCATCTCCATCAGGATTATGTTGCCTTAAATCCTCATCATAGTCATCATCATCATCATCGTCGTCGTCGTCGTCGTCATCTCCATCAGGATTATGTTGCCTTAAATCCTCATCATAGTCATCATAGTCATCATCATCATCGTCGTCGTCATCTCCATCAGGATTATGTTGCCTTAAATCCTCATCATAGTCATCATCATCATCGTCGTCGTCATCTCCATCAGGATTATGTTGCCTTAAATCCTCATCATAGTCATCATCATCATCGTCGTCGTCGTCATCATGTCCATCAAGATTATATTGCATTAAATCCTCATCATAGTCGTCGTCATCATCATCATCATCGTCATCATCATCGTCTTCGTCATCTCCATCAAGTTTACATTACATTGAATCCTCATCATAGTCGTCGTCGTCATCATCATCATCATCATCAGGGACGTTATCATGATATTCTCTACTTGGGGAATCGAACCCAAAAACAACTAGGCTACCCCGCCGCCCGTGTGATATTTGGATATGTGCATAGTGATAGTAATTCCCATATGATTATTACTATTATCGTCGAATATCATCTTTATTATCATTACAGTTTGTGCTACGAGTGAGTGAGTGGGTGAGTGAATGAATGAGTGATCCAGTGTGGTCTTACGCCGCTTTTAGCAATATCCCAGCCGGGTCTTCGGTGTGACGAGCGAACGCTTTAACCACTAGGCCACCCCACCCATCGCCCCTGTGTGGTACGAAGTGAAAGCAGGCTGTACTATGTTCAACTTCCCTGACGTGAATTGTCGTGGTCTTAGTGTTTCAAGAAGCATAACAAACCATTTGATTGTTTCTTCATTGCCATTGTATTGTTTGTAACTGTGTGAGGTCGGGGTTCGGGCGTAGATACTATCAATACAAACATCAACGACATGCAGGGACGGTTGATTTACATCTGCGAAAATATGTGCCACTGTCATTGACTACTCCCACGTAGAGGCTACAGACAGAAGGATTGACACAGAAGGATTTACACAGGATACACGTTTATTTACACAAGCCAACACATCGACCCAACCATCGCCTTCTTGTATCATTTCTCTCTCCTGAATCTATAGCAGTTCTGTCAATGGACGATCCTGATGGTTGTATTCCAAACAAAGCCCCTCCTTACCAGAGTCCGCGTGTTATATATTTCTGGATATCCTACTTTGAACCCCGGCGTTGGTAAAGTTCAGCAAACTGTGTTGTGAATACACCCTTAAACACCCCTTTGCTCGTCTTGTAAATAAATGATCGTCTTCATCGCAGAGTGACTTGTAGCAAATGTTCCCATCAAAATGCCTCGTGCATATCTTGAGATCATACGATAGCTAATCAGTCTTCTCAACGTGCTTCTGGTCTCATCAAAATCTCCTTATAGATAATAACTGAGGGTAGTGCATACGGTGACCACCAGGGGGCGGTGGCGATGACAAATCAGCGTAAGACTGGGGTTATCTCGTCTGACACAAATGGCTATGTTCGCAACGTGGCGCACTGTGGCCATTGCAGGAAATTAGTCGGTTTTCGGGATGTCGTTAAAACTAATTTATGGCATTAGATTTATCGTCTGATTGAAAGCAAATTAGAACGTTTTCACTCTTTAGCATCACCGATACTGTAGTTTATCGGACCAATTATGTCGTTGTTTCTGATGCCTAACGTCCGATCATGGAGATTAAGACATACACCTTGGCAGGAGCCTAGATTTGCATATTGAGGACATGAAGTTAAACGGAACTCGATAAACTGATATCGTCCGTAATATTTCAAGTTCCAAGGATTTAGTAAATGGTCAAACCCTGTGATGAAAGCAAAGATCCAGATTCGATTCGACACATGGGTACCATATATGAACTCAATATTTGATATTCCTTGCTGTGTAATACATTTAAGTACCTTTATAAGGAACATGCTTATATCGCACTGAGGACCATAACCATTTGATTGGTCCCGACTGTATATGTTAGTCCGAAATGGGTATAACGACCTTCGGTTATATCGAACTAAAATGAGTAGTCCCGCTGAGTTCGTTATAACCGTAGATTATTGTATTGACGAAAACGTCATTGAACACCATTTCCCATGACCTGTAATGTATGAACCACACTCCACATTTTATAGACAATCAGAAAATATGGAGGCAATGCCCATAACACCTCCATAACCCGTGAAGATCCGGGTTAGAATTGGTCTTCAGCAACCCATGCTTGTCATAAGAGGCGATCTCGACTAATAGGATCGGGTGGTCAGGCTTGCTGACTTGGCTGACACATGTCATCGTATCCCAATTGCGTAGATCGATGCTCATGCTGTTGATTGTCTGGTCCACACTCGATTATTTACAGACCGCCACCATACAGCTGGAATATTGCTGAGTGCGGTGTAAAACTAAACTCACTCACGTATCCACTCTGGTTTGTGTACAGCTTTAGGTTTCTTAATTTGGCTCACAAGTAACGATGTTTTCCTTCCTTCCACGCACATTTAAATAACGGTGAACCATAGCTAGCGGTGCGTCTTTCGTGCAGTGACCTAGCTGTGAATGCCGAGTTGAACTGAGCTGCAAAAACGTCCTTCCCCCTTCTCATTATCTATTCTTCTTAAATATGAATATCATCCGAGTCATCATTTCGTCACTGGTACTACTTTTCTTGGCGGAACGAAACGTTGTGATCTAACATCGGCGAAGATGTTGAATATCGTTTTCACGCCCATCAAAACATTCGCAGAGAACTTTCGTTGTTTTTAGTTATAAATAGAATCCATTTTCAATCTGGTCAGCATTTTGTAAATCTGCCAAATCTTCAATGCCAAAGCCTAAAATGCCTAGTGTTATTTCTACATCACCTTGGCATATGGAATCCAAATACATATGAGAAGAATATCCTATCACAAACACCCACCACAAGATGAAACCCGCATGTAAAACATCCTATGTCTGTCGTTTTTGTTCAAGTTCCCTTCTTTAAGGAAAGAATTTTTCAAACCAGCATCAAGGTAAAGCAGATCTTGTATTCTTTACTTCCAGGAGTGAGATGAATGTTGGTACTCCAAACATTATTTCTGCTATCGTTTACTTTGAACAGGAACGTCAAACACTGTTGGATGATGAGAGGGTGGTGAAGTCGGTGGGGTGGGGTTCCTGAGACGGTGTCGGGTGGATGATTTGTTTGTCGTTCAACGCCGTACTCAGCAATATTCCAGCTTATATGACGGCGGTCTGTAACTAAGTCTGGACCTGACAATCCAGTGATTGACAGCATGGGCACCGATTTTTGCAATACGATGACATGTGTCGACCAAGTCAGCGAGCCTGACCGCCCGATCCCGTTAGTCGCCTATTACGACAAGCATGGGTCGCTGAAGATCATTTCTAACCCGGATGTTCACGGGTTGAGGGATTATGCTGACTAATATGCATGTGATATTAGGTGTGAGTGAGTTTAGTTTTACGCCGCTTTAGCAATATTCCAGGAATATCATGGTGGGCGACACCAGAAATGGCCTTTACACATTGTACCCACTTGGGGAATCGAACCCTCAAACACCTAGGCTACCCCACCACCCGTGTGATATTTGGATATGTGTATATTTCTTGTGACATACCTACAGCATCTATGGTGTAGAAGGTGTACATCAATCGTCAGTAAATTGTCGAAACGGGTTCTCAAGCCGAATATGCTAAAGATATAAATGAACGTTTGTTTTCTGGTTTCCATTGATCACAACCCGACGTACTACTGTTTGAATCACTATGAAAGAACGGTGATGCCAATTGTGCCTGAAAAGATGAGCGTATCTTTCCAACGGTGTCACACATCACAAACACTTGCCAAGGCAAATCAATTGTTTACTTCAAAATCACAGGAACATATATGGTACAAGTCAAAACTGGAATTGCGCCATTCACTCGTACATCACACAAGTCCAGAAATGGCTTAACAGTGGAACCTCTGTTATTCGAGTACAATTAATATAATAACAGTTGAAATGGCTCCGCTCCTAGTTCTTCACGTCAAGAGATTGTTGAGAGCATAATGGTAGACAAACACATATCTTAAGATGTTTGGGAAAGGAGTTCCTAACCGAAGTATGAAGGAAATGAAAGAATAAAACATGACCAGAGGGTACCCGTCAGTTTGTGGAAGAATTTGACCTGACCAGAGGGTACCCGTCAGTTTGTGGAAGAATTTGACCTGACCAGAGGATACCCGTCAGTCTGTGGAAGAATTTGACCTGACAAGAGGATACCCGTCAGTTTGTGAAAAGCATTTAACATAAGCAGATGATACCCGTCAGTTTGTTGAATAATCTGACCTGATCAGAGGGTACCCGTCAGTTTGTGGAAGTATTTGACCTGACCAGACGATAGCAGTCAGTTTCCGAAAATCATTTAACATGACCAGAGGGTACTCGTCAGTTTGTGGAAGCATATGACACGAATAGAGGGTACCCGTCAGTTTGTGGAAGCATATAACATGAATAGAGGATACCCGTCAGTTTGTGGACGCATATAACGTGACCGAAAGGTACCCGTCAGTTTGTGGAAGTTTTTGATATGACCAGAGGGTACTCGTCAGTTTGTGAAAAGCTCTTAACATGGCCAGAGGGTACCCGTCAGTTTGTGGAAGCATATGACATGAATAGAGGATACCCGTCAGTTTGTTGAAATATTTGACATGAAAGGAGGCTACCCGTCAGTTTGTGGAAGAACATAACATGAAAGGAGGCTACCCGTCAGTTTGTGGAAGAACATAACATGAAAGGAGGATACCCGTCAGTTTGTGGAAGAACATAACATGAAAGGAGGATACCCGTCAGTTTGTGGAAGAACATAACATGAAAGGAGGATACCCGCCAGTTTGTGGAAGAACATAACATGAAAGGAGGATACCCGCCAGTTTGTGGAAGAACATAACATGAAAGGAGGATACCCGTCAGTTTGTGGAAGAACATAACATGAAAGGAGGATACCCGCAAGTTGGAGGAAGCATATAACGTGACCGAAAGGTACCTGTCAGTTTGCATGATAAATTGACCTGGCTAGAGGGTACCCGTCAGTTTGTGGAAGCATTTGACATGATCAGGGGTTACCCGTCAGTTTGTTTTATTTGACATCACTGCGATGACTATCCGATCAGCTGGAAAGGTTATGGCCCGCAATGCCGTGGAAGTTATCATGAGAAAAGACCAGACCACAAAAGGAGGATTTTATTCTGCACTTCTGAGGTAATTGCAGGGTGAATTTGACACAGGAAGCTGACAAAAAGAGTGCTCTTCCATCAGGACAGAGCCTCAGTGCTCAAATCAGTCACTGCCATGGGTATAATCCACGAGT